TCCATTTTCTCTCTTGCCGACGACCATTGCCGTCCATTTCCCCTAGCAACACTCGTCATCTTTCCATTTTCTCCCTAGTTCACGACCATTGCCCTGTTTTTCCCTCCCCTAAAACGGTACTAAAACCTCCTTTCCTTTCCCCACTGCGCAGTAATTTGTTCATTTTCTCTCCCTTATTGCAAAAGAGACAGAGGAATAAATCTTATTGTCTCCTTCATATTTTCCAACATCTCTAATTTCCCCTACCCCCCCTAGAAACGCCCCCCCCCCACACACACACTCCTTAGCAACATCGCGCTTCATCACGTAACTAGTTAAGGTTGTGTAGGGTAGAATTTAAGGAATTTAGGGAATCTAAGGAGCGGACTTTAAAAAAAATATATACGGATCTGTAGTTTTTAAGAATGAATCAAAGAGGGAAAAAAATACCGATGAATATTACTTAAAAAAAGAAACTTAAAAAAAAACAATACTTATTACTTAAAAAAAGAAACTTAAAAAAAAAGAAAAGGAAAGACCAATAATCATTACTTCAAAAAAGACGCGATAGAGAATCCGTTTCCTGGAATATATTGAGAAGGAACCCACGTTTCAACGAACCTAAAATCGCGTTGACCTGCAGTAGGTGTTTCAATGGGGGAGGGGGAGGGGGAGTGCGCCACAGGGGACCACAGAACACACTGTGCGCCGGAGGGAGGAGGGCGTTAGGGGGTACGAGCGGACGACTGGGGACATCAAAACAAGAGAGAATGCCGCCAGGACGACCTAATAGCAGGCAGTAGAAGATGATATGTCGCGCTTTCTCGTACGTGATCGCAGCGGCGCCCGCCAGAGTGCTTGAAGAGGAAGTTGGCCTCGTTATTTCTTCTTTTTTTTCTCTCTCTCTGCACGAACATATGTACGTCTGCTCGTGTACAGCCACATGCATGCGAGCGAAAATGCAATCAGACGTACACGAACACACGCACACACGTATACTCATTTTCACCCGTGCACAATCGTAAACACAGCTAGTACATAAGATTACACAAACACACACACACGCGTATACGTAAACACGCACACACGCACACGCACATACACAAACACAAACACTCATTCACTCACTCATTCACTCACTCACTCACTGATTCTCACGCACACAAATTTCCTACGCAAATCCACACACGCACATGAACACACATACACTGACCCTCGTACGCAGAGGCACCGAAGCAGTGATAATGATTATGGTAATAAACGCACTGGCGTATAACCGTAGTAGTGGTAGTATTAGCAGTTGTAGCAATAGTAGCAGTTAGAATTATAGAAGAAAAATATTATTAGTTATTGTTGTAGTAGTAGTAGTGTAGTAGTGACTGTAATAGTAGTAGGAGCAGAAAATTCAAATGTGCGAAGATTAAGTAGGTAAGTAAGGCGGTCAACAGGATGACCTAAGTACTTATTTCTGAAATAAATAGAGGGGGAGGGATGGGGGGGGAGGAGGGAGTAAAGGGGATTTGGCTGGGTGGGAAGGGGGGGGAGGGGGGAAAGAGGGGGTTAGGGGTGGGATACTAGAAAAGCAAGATTTTTCTGGTATCTGATCGTGTCTTGTAAGAAAGTTGGCGCTGCTGGCTTCGGGTTGTGAGTTATTGGTGTTGTGGGGGGGGAGGTGAGGGGGGGTAATGGGTAAGAGTTTTCCCCAAGGCTTTTTGAACTAGCCTTCCCCCTCCCCCACCTGCTTATTCCCCCCTCTCCCCCCTCCCCCACCTACCTATCCTCTCCTCCTTCACTCACCTATTTTCCCTCCCCGCCCACCTGTAACCCCTCCCCCTTCCTCCCTACCCCCCTCCTCCTCAACCCACCTATCCCCCTTCCTTTCTTGCCCTCCTCTTATTCTCATGTTTTATTTTTTCCCTCCGTTTTTTTAATATAGGTCACTGTATAATCATAGTTTTATTTTTCACATTTTTTTCATTTTTCCCTCTTCTGTTTTCACCTTCCCTTTCTTTATCTTTTTTTTAGTTTATTCCTTTTCTACATCGTTCCACGATTATTTAAAATTTCTCTCTATCTTCTGTTTGGAATCACTATTATCTCTTTTTTCCTTGTCTCTCCTTTTTATCCAAGTTCCAAATTTTCCATTCCCCTCTCCTTATTATTTCAATTCAGTATTTTCTCTTTGTTCGTCCTTTCCCCTTTTATTCCCTAACTCCTGCTCTTTATCACTTTTCTTATTCTTAGTACGGCCATTTATCATCACGTCCTTATTTCCCTCTTCTCATTTCTTCTTCCTTCTTTCCTTTTCCTTCCACCTTCCCCCTATTTCCTTTCATCCTCTCTTCGTCTCTATCTTCTAAGCTGAGATTGGCCTCTTCATCTTGCAAGATAATGTCTGCAATGGCAACATGTGTTCAGATTCCCATTATGCAAAGCTCTCTGCTATCCCCCTCCCCCTCCCTCCTTCCCCCACCCCCCCTCCCCCGTCTTACGTGTCTCACTTGGGGCTTCTTAGTTGGTGCATTTTTTTCGTTTTTCTTCTTTCTTTCTCTCTTTTTTTGTGGCCTTTTTTCTTTGTTTTTGTTTCTCATGTGGGAGTATCTCTCTTTGTCTCTTTCTCTATCTGTCTATGTATCTATCTAAATGTCTGTCTGTCTATCTATCTCTCAATCTATCTATCTATCTATCTATCTTTCTTCCTGCCTATCTCTCACTCTTTCTCGCTCTCTCTCGGTCTTCCTTTCGCCCTCTCCTCATTTCTCTCTCGCTCATCCATACATTATGAATAACTCTCCTCCCTTTTCCCTTCCAGAACGCATCCGCCGCCAAGATGCAGCTCAGCAGGCGATCCACCAGCGGCAGCGGCAGCAGGAACAGCAATAACAGCAATAACAGCAGTGGCACAAACAGCACTCGGCCTGCAGCTGCCCTCACAGCAGCCGCTGCACAGAAGTCGGAGAAGCCAAAGGGTGAGTGTGAAGGCCTATATTCATGTTTTATTTTTACCTTTTAGTGGATGTGCGTTTTTTAATTTTCTTTTTTTTATGCGTGTGTGTGTCTGTGTGCGTCAGATATTAGTTTATCGGAGGTTTTTTTTCTGGTTGTCAACGTTGGTTCTGTGCTTCTATAGGTCGTAGGGTAAATGTGAGAAAGGAATAGCGAAGTGGGGATTAGAAAATAGCGAAGGGAGGGTAGGAAATAAAGAAGAGGAGAAGAGGTAAGAAGGGAAAACGTAAATAAAGGCCTAGGAAGTCTGCAAGTAGCTCATATTATATAACGAAGACGTATCGCTGAGAACCAATTCGCCATGACAGGATTTTAACACAGGCTTACGAGTACTTGTTTGTGACAGGAATTCGAGTGTTCGGGATTAAGATTAAAATGATCGGCGACGATGACGTGATGCCGGTTGTACTATGAGATTTCTCAAGTGTTTTCATCGAGTGTTTTCTTTTTTGGATCGAGTGCTTTTCTCAAGTACTTTTCCCCGAGCTGAGATTGTGCGTGATTCAACGACGGAAGACAAATGCTTAATTTTTCCGAGCGGTTTTAACCAGTGCGCAACGAGGCGTCGGAGAAGTGCTACGTAATCCTCATTATTTTGTCGGGAAAGTTTTGGTATATGAAGAAAGTTGCTGGAATTAAATGACGTGCTTCGAGGAGAATTGAGGTTATGGGGAGGGGGATAGATAGGCAAAGGGAAGGAGACAAGATGACGAGATACATATGTAGACGTGGAGGAAGGGAATAGGAGAGAGAGAGAGAGAGAGAGAGAGAGAGAGAGAGAGAGAGAGAGAGAGAGAGAGAGAGAGAGAGGGAGAGAGGGAGTGAGAGACAGACAGACAGACAGACAGACAATCTCATAGACAGAGAATAAGAGAGAAAAAAAGAAGAATGAAAAGATTAAAAAAAAAAAAAAAACTTCGCAACGCACAGACGAAGACAGATTTCTTCCGTCGTTCTCTGTATCGAAGAAGTAAAAATCATTAACACACTTCCACCACAAAGGATCCGACACCTTCATTACGCCCTACACCCCTCCCCCCCCCTTCTGCCCCATCCCCCCCCCATACTCCCCCTGTTCCCCTACTCCCCTACTCCCCTACTTCCCCTATTCTCCATACCCCATCCTACACTCCCCTATTTTCCTCCCCTATCCCCTATTCCCATTTACTCATCCTCTCTCCCCCCCGCTTCCCTACCTCACCCCCCTCCCTAGCCTCACCCTCTACTTCCGGTGCAGAGCTCTGGAATTACGCAAGATTTTTTTTCCTTCATCAGCTGATGCGGTGACGATCAACGTGAGTCATGTGTCGCTTTATATCCTCCCTCTCGATTCTTTGACATCTCGTGTGTGCGTGCGTGCGTGCGTGCGTGCGTGTGCTTGTGGGCATTGCACAAGCGACAGTTGTGTGAGTGTGTGTGTGTGTGTGTGTGTGTGTGTGTGTGTGTGTGTGTGTGTGTGTGTGTTTGCGTGCGTGCTTGTGCGTGTGGGAATTTTCACCAGCGACGGTCGTGTTTATTACCGCATGTAAGTATATGTACGAATACATATTGACGTATGCTTAAACTTGTACATGTATGGATGTGCTTGTTTGTAGCCGTGCGTATGTGGCCGTAAGTGTACCTCTCTGGGTGTACGTGTGTCTTAGCATGTAGATAAACAGACAGACCGACTGATAACATAGCTCGGATTGTATCATATTAGTCATCTGTCACAGGTGAAGTTATCGGAAAGGAGGTGGAAGGTAGGAGGGGAGGAGGGGAGGGGGTGGGAGATAGAGAGCTCGCTACTCTCCTTGCCCCCTCCCTCCCTTCCCCCTCTCCCTCCTCCTCCCCCTCCTCCTCCCCTCTCTCCTCCTTAAGCTTATCACCCTCGTCTTCATCTCCTTGTCTACAGCATCACCTGCAGATTCATCTCGCTTCATCTCCTACCTTGTTTTAATAGCTTTACTGGTTGAATACTTTTAAACTGGGCTTTTAATTATTCTTATCTCGTTCAAGGTGATAATGATGCCGATATGGCGTGTGCTGTCAAGTACCTATTAATTTAATTAACTACATTTTTTTTTTGTTGGAATTTGCTCGAATGCTACGATCCTCTCTGCCGATATTACAAGCGATGCCATTTGTGTGTCTCTCTCTCTCTCTCTCTTCTCTCTCTCTCTCTCTCTCTCTCTCTCTCTCTCTCTCTCTCTCTCTCTCTCTCTCTCTCTCTCTCTCTCTCTCTCTCTCTCCTCTCCTCCCCCTCTCCCTCCCTCCCTCCCTCCCTCCCTCCCCCCTTCTCACTCTATCCCTCCCTCTCCCTTCCTTTCTCCCATAAATAGGCCTCTGTTCTTGACCTCGTGGTGACTGACCCTTCGCGAAATAAATAGGCCTATTCACTTCTGTCATTTTAGCACAGGGTCGTTGTCCGATTTTATCAAAATATGCATTTAATCGAAGTGTGGCCGGCCGTTCGTCATTTTGTGGCCTGCCCTTAGCGCCCCCCCCCCCCTTCCCTCCCATGCGTCAACCCCTCCAGCGTTCTCCCTCTCTTCTTCCTCTTTCTCGGCCTCATCTTCCTACTTTCCTTTATTCTTTTTTTCCTTCTTTCCTCTTATTATTTTTCTGATGTTTTTCTTTTTCATCCTCCCCCTCCTCTTCCTCCACCTCCTCCTCTTCCTCCTCCTCCACCCCCTCTTCTCTCCTCCTCCCTCCTCCTCCCTCCTCCTCCCTCCTCCTTCCTCCTCCTCCTCCTCCTCCTCCTCCTCCTCTTCTTCCCCCC